TTCTTTTCATGGACTTTTCCTCCGCATTTAATACTGTAAATACAGACATTTTGTTATCACGTCTTCTTAATCTGCAAGTAAACTCTGCCGTTATCCTCTGGATAAAAGAATTTTTATATAACCGACCTCAAAAAGTCAAGGTAAAGGATTCCATGTCTGACAGTCTGGTGCTAAATACTGGAGTTCCTCAAGGTTGCATTTTATCACCGATATTATTTTCTGTTTATACAAATGAGATCAAGTGCAACATACACAATATTACATTAGTTAAATATGCAGATGATATGGCCCTGGTGGTGCGACTTACAGATGTACAATCATTAAATGCATATGTCAACTACATACAACAACGGGGACCGTGTTGGATCAATCTTTTACATTCACAGAACATGTAGGCTGTGTCTATAAAAAAGCACAGCAAAGACTCTTTATGCTGTGCAAATTAAGAAGCTTTGAGGTCAGCCAGTGCCCTTTAAACAGAGTATATCAATCTTTAATTGAAAGTATTCTCTGTTTTAACATTGTGTCCTGGTTCGGAAACCTAACTGTTAAAAACAAGGCAAAGCTTTCTAAAATAGTCAAACTGGGCAGCAAAATCACAGGCCGAAAACAAGGTCACCTGTCCCATCATTATGACAGAGCAGTACAATGGGTGAGTAACAAAATTGTAGATGATTGCAGCCATCCTCTACATCACTGTTTTCAGTTACTACCCTCAGGGCAAAGGTACAGAGTCCCCTGTGCAATGAAAAACATCTACAAAAAATCATTTGTCCCCGTTGCCATAAACCATCTCAACCATCTCAATCAGTAAGCCGGCCTGCTACATCAATACATAGCACACTATTTTAAACAACTACCTCAGCACACTGCACTTTATATTTACTGGATTTGGTCTTGTAATGTTGCTTCTGTTGTGATTTATGTAAATTTTTTTAATGGGTTATTGTTGTGTTGGAACATGTTTTATGATTTTATGTTGTCTTGCAAGTCAAAGACAAATTTCTGCCTTCTGCATGCATAAGGTAGACAATAAAGTATTATTCTATTCTTCTATTCTATCATGCAGATGTTAAAAGATAGCCTGGTTCCAGACCATAGACCCCGCCCACTCAACTGAGTAGGCTTGCATCTCTGGTCTGGCATACTGCAATGAATTTGCGATTTATCTCGTCCAAACAATGGACGGACCAATGAACGCCGGGGGTCTAGCGATTAGCCAATCAGCGCCACGCTGATGTCAAGCTGTACGCCGGTGGGTAACTGGTGAGGATAGCAACAATGGCGACCGCTACAGATCCTACAGACCACATTAACGATGCTATCGAGGTATTTCGCCACTACTCACGTTAATGGAGGACCAAATTAAGGAAGCTGCTAAACTTGATTTAACAGCGATGCAGCTGGGCATGCACGACGACGGAGACATTTTAAACGGGCAATGCTCGCTTGTTTTCGGCCCCCCCGAGGCATGGATACTAATGACGTCAGATTCTGGGTGAGTCGTTGATCTCTACTGATTGGTTAGGGAAAAAATCAAATTCCCTCCCCCTTGTAAATCGCCTTCAATGGAACTAGCCTGAGTGTCAGACTGAAGCTCCCAGAACCTTCAGTCTGACACTCAGGCTAGTTAAAAGACGCCTTTTTCGTTGGTTTCTGACGCCGCAAGTCACTGCCGAAGCGCTGGATTTCAACAACTTCAGAGTGAAACTAGGCTCAGGAAACAGCACTTCAAAATAAAAGTTCTGTGCCAGAAATTCACCGTGCTTAAAAATAAAGTGTGCGTTTTACAAGGTTGATGCATTCGTAAGTCACGTGCAGTCCATTCAGAATGAACCCACGACCAACTTTTGGACTGCAACCCACCAGTTGGGAAACACTGGTTTAACATTTTAGCATGCTAACATTTGCCAGTTAGCACTACACACAACGTACAGTTGACGCAGAGGAGAATATTATGCAATTTGGTCAAAAACAAATTTCTTGGTGTGATGATAGACCACAGAACCTGCAGGAAACTGCATATAGTATATGTAAGAACAAAGTTGACAAGGAGTGATCCAGTTTTCGGCAAAGCCAGACACACACTGGATTACAAAGCATTGTATACTCTGCACTGTTGTCTGATGAAATCATTGTGCTGAGGTTTGGGGAAACACCTACAAAACCACCATACAGCCATTATCCATACTGCAAAAAAGAGCCATAAGAATTTTACACAATGTTGAATATCGGGACACATTAATAACCTGTTTTTGAAGTCACATGAACTGAAATTTATAGATCTGGAGGATTCTAAAATGGCTCAAGTCATGCAAGAAATGACTTACTACCTGGCAAAATACAAAAACAATGTTCTTGGATAGAGAGGTGGAGGGGGTATAACTTATGAGGTAGATTAAATTTCAATGTTGTTTTCACACCACTCTGAAAAGTATGAGTGCATCAGTTTGTGGGTTGATTTTCAGAGTAAAGATACCAGACAGTTTGAAAAGAGGAACAAAGACAGTATTTTCACAAGGTATAGAAATGATTAGAGCCAATATCCTCCTGAGACCCTGTGTCCTCATATGAGGATATCACATTTTGGGTTTATTGGACCTTATACTTCATTCTTCTTAACTTAGACCTGTCGTCCTCGTTTGTGGACACTTTTTTGTGCCATCTAGTGGTAGTAAGAGCACAATACACTAATCCATGTGAAAACAAGATGGCGGCCATCTTGGCAAAGTCAGTCTGCAGCTGATCCCAACTCAAAAGTGTACAAAGTCTAAAACCTGATCACATTTAATGATTGAAACGTGTTTAGTTATGATTAATAATGTTTCTAGTTTGATATGCTGTACACATTTTACCATTTTTAGCAACAGTGACAAGCTAAGACGCTATTAATTAGGAAGTACTCGTTCGCAGACATTGGGAGTTTCTCATCAGCTCGTTGAAGAACATTGGGACTTTATCATCATCTCCTTTGAGGACTTTAGTTCTGTATTGTTGTCTTTTTAGGATATTAGGACTTTATTTATTTATTTATTTATTATCGCTAACAATGTTTAGTTTTTTAAACTTATCAGGTCCTACTGATCTCAAATAGCTAGGAGAAATTGAAAATGCAAACCAAAGTTCGGGTCTCAGGAGGATATAAAGCACGCTCAGGGTGAGACTGTTGTCGGTATTCACAGTTTGTATTATCGTATTTGTTTTATACACGGGGTAATATTGGTTATCAGGTATTTAGAAGTGCAGTAGTGTAAATGTGTGATTGATCGATGGTGAGGAGAGTGTATCTGTAATAGTTTGATGAGTGATGGATCAGTATGGTTTGGGATTGAGTTGGGTGCTTCTTCCTACTCCTTTTCGGACATGAAATGTTAATTTATGATTCTCGTTGTATGTCTGTTCATAATTTATTGTTTGTTTTGTTGGCTTTTTTGTTGTTGTTGTTGTTTTTACAATATATTCTATTGTATTATTATTTTAAATGATAAAAATTATTACATGAAATCAAATCAGAAGCCGAAGTTTTGTACATAATTAAATTTTGACCTAATGGTGCTATGAAATAAAAATATTGCACTCCATTCATAGAGCCAAGGACAAGACCTAGGGTTTATGATTTGCTAAACCCCACATAACTGAGACTCAAATAATGTAAAATATATAACCCGGGTCATGACATTTTCCTACTTGTATAATTCATAAGCACTACAAACATCCTGAGTTTTACCTCTTTTCATATGTATGTTTACATGTCTACATTGTATCTGGTCATTCATGATGTCCTTCAGTGTCTCTGCACTGATTTATTCTGCAGCAGCTCTCTGTCTGTGTTGTCGAGTGCAGAGCTGCTCGGCTGTTTGATTGTTTTAGCTGCTTGTTTTTCCTAAAATGAGCCGCAGGAAGTCTTTCCTGTTTTGAAAACACTATGAATAGAAGAGAATTGTGTTTGTGTGCGTGTGTGTGACGGAGAGTGAGTGAGACAGATAAAGAGAAAGAGAGATGGAGAAGAATACATAATAAAACTGAAATGATTCAACACATTTCTGTATATATAAAGCTACATAGATACGACACAGGTACAGTGATGCCACAGAGTCGACCCTTCACTGTGGAGCTGATTTACTGTATTCTTCCCCTTCGTCTCTCTCACAACTCTCCTCTTAATCCTCCTCTCTGCTCCAGGAAACAGGACACAGTAAACTTCCAGCTTCTGTTTCTCTCACTTCCAAGTGGAAGTAAGTATGTGGGAAGCACTTTGTGTGTGTCTGTGTGAGCGTTGAAGTATTGGAAAAAATGGACCTCCTGACCGTTTGATGCTCCCTTCTCTCTCACGTAGAAGGCGCAAACTGTTTATATCATCAGCATAAATCTGCACCCCCAAAACAGCATACAAACACACACACAGAGGTGTGTGACTCAGATACACCTGGCTATCGCACCATTTTCAAAAAGCAGTTTCATTTTTTTTCAAAGGAACTTTACTGCGTTCGTGCTCCGGATCAGTGGATTCAGATGGCAGGCGGCTGAGTGATCATGACTCAGTCTAAAGGGAGACAAGCTGATCATAATAAAGATAAGAGCACTCGCCACAATACCAACTAATGGCAACTTTTTTTTCAAAGAATCTGTGTCTGTTAACCGCCAACTCTGCCCCCAAAACACACAAATTAAAACGGTAGTGTTTCCAAAAAACAACCATGATTTGCAGCGTTGGACACCAAAAAGATTTGATTCACACTTGTTTCCACCTTTCCTGTCGCTTACCCATGTGTTTGCTGTGATAAAACTGAGCTGCTTTCATCAACCGTCTCACTAGCTCGCTCAGTAGACACTGAATTGTTTAATTTGGGTCTTAATGATATCAATCTCACCCACTGAGATGTTGTCTGTGTGAGAGTGGCATTAGCTGTGGTCAAGTGGTTAAATTTCACAAGAATTCACAGTTTCACTCAGGAAGCAAGATACTTTTTTCACAAGAGAAGACATTTTCCACACATATGGGTATTTTGCATATTTTATTACAAACATCTACAACAGTAAACAACAAGCACAGCAGCAGTGAAACAAACCTGATGACAGTATTTATAGGAGAAACCTCACAGTGAAGGAGGAAGACAAGTCATGGGCCAGCAGACTGCTCCTCTCACACACTAAACACACACACATATACACAGTATTTACACATATATACAGCACAAGCAAACACTAGCTGGAGTGTAAACTGGAGGACTCGGACTCTGTGGTCGTGGAGGCCCCCGGGCGTCTTCGTGGTAAAATCTTCAAACTGGAGGCTCGGCTCAGAGTGAGGGCTCTGCGTGCTGAACTCTTGAACCCAGCCCCCAGGAAGGCGTACAGCAGTGGGTTCAGGCAGCAGTGTGCGAACGCCATGGGCTCAGCCACCGCCAGCCACACGCCCAGGACGGCCTCCAGTCTGCAGCTGCGCGGCAGGACCTCCAGGCGCAGCAGAGCGTCCACAGAGATGCCCGCTCCATAGGGCAGCCAGCACACGAAGAAGCAGAGGACCAACGCGATGGTGGTCCTGACAGCTCGCCGCTTCTGCCTCTGACCCCCGAGCGGGCCACGGGTCAGCCTGGTGACAATGACACAGTAACACACAAGGAGGACCAGACCTGGGATCACCAGACCCACCAGGACCAGCTGGAGGTGGAAGACTGCAACCCAGATGGGACCGTTGTCTGCTGGGTAGAATCGCTGGCACAGAGTGGCCCCCTCGCCTCCTTCCTGAGTGCGGGCGTAGATCAAGTCTGGCACTGCCAGGAGGCCGGCGGGCAACCAGGCACCTGCAGGGAGAGAAGGCACAGAGAGGTAAGAGACTGTGGGAGTCAGAGGTCAGACAGAAGAGTTGCAAAAAGTAAAAATCTTTCAACACTCACCAACATAAACCAGTTTGTGTGCCAGCAGCTGCCTCAGCTCGCCGGTGTTGGTGTCTGTGGCTCGGACTACAGCCAGGTAGCGGTCCAGGCTGATGAATGCCAGGATGAGCACGCTGCCGTACAGGTTGACTGTGTAGATAACGTTCACACCAACGCAGGTGACCTCTCCGAAGTGCCAGTCGGCCAGAGCTGCATCCACGGCCCAGAACGGCAGCGCCAGAACAAAGAGGAGATCAGCAGCAGAGAGATGTAGCCGATACCGGTCTGTGAGGCTGCACTTTGACCTGCGGACGAACACAGCGGAGGAAATCATTAAGCCTAGTGATTCACAGACACAAAGAGATTCATCAGATCAACCACCAACCCTCCACCTCTCACCTGCGCTGGCAGCCCAGTACTATGACAACCAGGCCGTTTCCAGTGATGCCCAGGATGAAGATGAGGGCGTAGACCACAGGCAAGAAGACCTGCTGGAGCTCATCAGTAATCACATGCTCCATGTCACAGAGCTCCTGCAGATCCACCCCCATGTCACCAGAACCAGAACCTGAGCCGGTGTCATTGAGGTCATAGTCGAAGACGATATGCTGCGGAGGAGATGATGATGATGATGATGATGAGTAAGAGCAGGAAGCAAAAGCAGATCCAGATTTGTTAATTTACATAAAAGCTCCACACATGACCAACATCCTTACCTCATAGTACGACATGACGGTCCCTCTCCTCTCTCAGCGGAGTGAAGTTAAGATTTCCGTCCACAGGGGATATATAGCCGTGTCACGCTCCTCCCCTCAACGCACCAACACATCTGTGTTCCTGCTGAAACGTTTTTCCTGTTTTCGAGGTGTCAGGTGCTGATAGTGCCTCTATCACAGGATACTGTGTTGTGTGTGTACCCTGCTTGAATTGTTTTGGCCCTGAGACCTCTGGGTTGTGATAATCAGGAACTATTGGCAATAGGAAAGACCGCCGATGGGAATCAGACAATGTGTAATGTGTGTGTGTGTGTGACAGTCTCCAAACTCCACGCTCTGTTAAATCAGGACAAGCAATATGTGTTTCAGCCCTCAGCAGAGAGTGAACAGACTTGTTGTGTTTGCGTCATTGTCTTGTGTGATGCATAGAAGCATGTATGCATCGACTAACATGAAAGGAGACGCAGGGAGGAGAGAAGGAACGTGTGTCTCAGTTAGTGAATGTGATATGATTATCAGCTGTGTTCCAGCAACACCGTGTGAGTGTGATATTAGGGTGTGCCACCTTTTTAAGAGCAACATAACGATAATGTTTCAACACCCATGTGAGCAGGAGCACATCCCTCAGAGTCTTCCATTATGGAGACCCGAACTGTTAGTGTTTTGTTGATTTAACTGATTAATTAATGATTTAAAATGCTGATAAAACTCACTACAAAAAGGATTTCAGCTTGACAAAATCTCGTTTTCTTCAGTCTGCCTATCTGATTCACCCTACTTTAACAAATCACTGCTGAAAACTGAAAAGGTTGACAGTGTCATTAAGCAAGATTTAAAGCTCCAGTGTAGGATTTATGGGGATATATTGTCAGAAATAGAATATAATACAATGAGTATGTTTTCTTTAGTGTATACTCACCTGAAAATAAAGATCAACATGTTTTCTTCACCTAATAATGAGTCGTTTATATCTAAATAGGGAGCAGGACCTCATTTACAGATATCGGCATGTTGCACAGTCATGTTTCTACAATAGCCCAGAATGGAGAGACCAAACGCTGGCTCTAGATAGGACGCTTTGGCATCACCCACCAACACAGACCTTTTCTTTTTTAATGTAAAACTGCTTTATTCAGTGTTTTTACCGGATTAAATCACTTGGCCTGTTTGTTTTGCAGAGGAAGAGACCTCTGCAGTTAATTCTGCTCCTGATAAAAACCTTGTGAACATTAAAAATAATAATAATACATTGGATTTATATTGTGCTTTTCTGGATAGTCAAAGGTGCTTTACACAAAACAAAACAAAACAAAACAAAACCAAAAATGAAATAATCTATAAGAAGGGAAACAATACAGAAAGGGAAGAGAAGATCACAATCTTTGAGAGGTTGGAGACTGAGGGAAAGTCTGTGATGTATTTAGGGAGTGAGTTCCAAAAGGAGGGAGCAGCAATGGAGAAAGCCCTGTCCCCCCTCGTGCTTAGGTTAGTCCGGTTAGCTAGGTTAGTTAGGTTAGGTTAGCTGGTGGTCTCCGACATGCCAAAACAGCATCAGAGAAACACAAACTTGTACATGAAACTGCTTTATTCAGTGTTTTTACCGGCGTAAATTGTCTGGATCATTTGTTTTGGAGAGGAAGAAACCAGCTGCAATGTAATATCCCTGCGAGCAATCGAGCACCATCACTTTACAACCACTAAAAGTGTTTGTTTTCACCACTGACAGACTCAGTTTGGTATTATAAGTGTCTGACAACTTTATGGAAAGAATCCCTACAGCGTTAGTCCTTTTTTGTAAAAGAGAGTGTCGGTCAGCAGACACATTTCCTGGTTTGGCACTGGCAGTTCTGACCTTAAATCCCATCCTCTCCCAATACATTAATCCCATCAGTAAACAGCACCAAGACTAAACTCTCAGTCCCTTATCTCTCCCGTTTCTCCATCCTTCCTCCACATTCACTGGTATCAGCACAAACATCGCAAAAATAACATTGCTGTGTAAAAAGACCTGTTCCTGGATTATCCTCATTAAAATTACACAAATATCTAATAGGTAAAGCTGCTTTTAGGAACGTGTGCCTGCTCTAATGTGGAGGATGAAAAATGACACAAGTATCAACACTATATAAGGTATACAGTAAATGAATACATGAATAAATAAATCACTACAGGAATAAAGAAATACAAGAATGAATAAATGCTGAAATAAATATGAAGATACATAATAGATGCATAACAGTAAATGCAAAGGTTAGCACCTCCTACCTCACTAAAATACATTATAAATAAATAAATGTAGTTCAACACATGTAAAATATTTGTGTCCCGTTTATCATCTTTACATTTGAATGTATATCTATTTCCATATTTATTTACTTTTTTTTTTTAAATTCTTATATTCATGCATTTATTTATTTCCATATTTACTTCTACAATTTTTCATTTATTTAAATTTTGATTTATTTCTATATTTATTTTAGCATTTATTCTTTTATTATTTATTTACATTTTTATGTCAACATTTTTATTTATTCTTTTAATCATGTATTTATCTATTTCCATATTTATGACAAATTGTATTCACCTATACATTGATTTCTATATTTATTTTAACATTTATTTCTGTATTTATTTATTTCCAAGTTCAACTTTTATTCATATATCCTTTTATCTAATTATGTTATTTATTTATTTAAGCATTTATTTATTGTTATTTCAATTATTTTTGTATTTATTCATGTTTTTAGTCCTGTTTTTATTTATCTATTTATCGATACTTAAGTCATTTTTGTCCTCCACACACTGACAGTATTAATCTGAGTTGTACTGCTGATCAGTAAGGTTTTTTTAAAAGGTAATTACAGGAAAAACAGGCATAAATAATTCCATTAATTAAAGGATGCGTACGATATAAACCACATGCATGACCCGGGCTGCTGTGCACGCTGCTTCACTGGGACACTAAATGATTGTTAGTTATTAATCACACCAGTGCTTTTCCTGCTGTGATGAGTCAAAAGGTTTTAAAAAAAAAGCACACTTAACAGCTCCTGGCTAAAATACTGGAGGATTCAGTTAAGTGGCGCCACCATGTGGTCTTATAGAGAAAGAGTCAAACACTACCCAATACCCAAACTAACCTGTTAACCACATTTATAGAACACAGCTCGGTTCCATAACTTGCAACCAGGAAAAAACGCCAAAATCAGGACAGAGGACTTTAAACGAGATGGGTAAATGAAGCCGTCTGATTTCCCATCCCTGTGAAGACAAATCTACAATAACTAAAGAAGGTCTGGACAACAGGGAGGAGGCAGCAACGTGTCCTACCCGCTCATCATCATTAAAGTTGTCTATGATCAGGAGGTGTTTGGAGAAATCATCGACACACCGTCTTCCTTAGAAATCAAACTCAATCTGGTTTAGTCTTGACCCCCCTCACTGTCATCATCATCTCCAAAACCACGGACTGTTCCTTTAAATCCACTTTATTCATGTTATCCTAGTTCACATTACAGTTGTCCAGTTGAATGTAACTCTAAATAAATGCTATTTTGAAATTTCTGAAAAAAATAAATAACATGCAAGTATGTGGAACTGCAAAAAAACAAACAAACTATGGCTTAAATACTAAATTCTTAACTGAATATTGTTGCTGTAACCTTAAAAAAAAATCACCTCACTAACGTGTTTCTCTGACAATCGTGCTGCTGCCACGCAACTGGACAAGCAAGTCTCTGAATCCTCCCCTCCTCTTTGGTGCTTTCTGCTCGGGTGGAGTCCCTCTTGGCTCAGAGGTTTCCAGGGTGACTAAGGAAGGAATCAACTCAACAGACAGATTTATGTCTGGTTCACTGCTGTCACTGCTATGACCAGGACTGCTGTAGTGGCCGCTGGTTGGGTGAGCACCGCTCATATCCGCACTGCTGTCACTGATGCGATTGTTGCTGTGGCGACGCTGCTGCTTAGCGACACGAGTGCTCTGAGAACCGGTTCTTGTCCTCTTTCTCCTGGTCTTCTTTTGTGCCTTTTTCACCAGCACTCTGACACGTTTTAGGTTCCTGACATGAAAACGCACCATGTTTTAGTCAGTTTTTATGTAAGGTTATTGATCTGCTCTTCCACTGTAGGAAACGTAAGTTATGTGTACAGATGCATTACCTCTGAAGGAAAGGGTGCGGCCTCCAGCAGGCCGATGACTCTCGTTCGCCCACACATTGCGCAAGTCGGTTTGTACCATTCTTCACCTTAAGTCTTTTCTTAACCAGCTGGACATGGATCAAAAGCTTCCTGACAAAACAGAGAGGTGCATTATAATGAGCTGACAGCTAAATGTGAATTTCCATGGCTAGTATTGCACCTTAGTGGTAAAGTTTGAATTCTTTTGAGGTGTGGTTGTATGAGTTACCTATCAACAGTCAGTGTATCACCGACAGTGAATGTCAGATGGCACGCCCCCAGTTTGGAGAAGCAGGTAGGATTAGTGACACAAAATCTAAGCAATGTACTACTGTGGACGGGGGCAGCAGCAAAACATATTTTAGCTTCCTGAAAAATTCAATATCAGTTTAAGTGTACGCTATATTCTAAATATTTTCAATTCTTTACCTTACCGTCTGATAGTGATGTCCAACTGGGAACTGAAGCAGTTATCTATGCTCTCTTAAAAGCCACCAGATTCCATTGACAACAGTAGCCTCTTTCATAGTGCCTTTTCAAGGTGGGAAATTCACGTCGTTATTCCACCTCGCCGTTCTGTATAAACGGTACAGTCGTGGAATGAGGGGACAGAGTTATCTCGCCTTTGAGCTGCCATTGGAGGTAGTAACAACACTGAAACGGCGTCAGTATAAATGGCACGGCTCGCAGGACAGGATCATGATGATGTGTTATGCGTGTGACCCACTGCTGAGATTTAAAAAGTAGCTACTAGCAGTTAGCAGCTAACTCCAAGAAGAAGATTGGCCGAAAATGTCCACAAATTGGGAAAAACAATGAGGTCCAGCAGTTCCTTACCCTCCGAGCAGAGGATGAGATCAGCAGCCATATAATAGGGATGGTAAATGACTGTTATTGCCACGTTTTGCCATTGTTATTGTTTATAAAGCTCTGCCGACACATACATTTATGGAGCAGAATGATGCTGATGGTTCTATGTAAAAAGTAAAGGCAGCATAAAGAAGTGACTTTATAGCGGCCCTGTAGCGTGATCTCTGTGTAAACAGGGCTAGTAATTTTACCTCGCAGAACAAGAGAGCTGCTGGTCTACTGCTGCCTCTATCAGCTCAGGCCAGGAAACATGCCCTGACTTTAACCACCTGGAAAATGCAAGGTCGGGCCTTGGGTGTTACTATTGTGCTGCCTATGTGCCAACTTTAAAAAGCGTGGAGGTAGGTTTCATCTGAGGTTGCTAAGCAACAATAACCAGCACCGAATCATAGCCTACTTGTGTTATTGTGTGACTCTGGTGTTTTAAAGGGTTAGTTTGGATTCACCAATGTCACACAATGACACAAACAACGTAAGTGATCAAGGCAGCGAGAGCATAGATAACGGCTTCAGTTCCCATCACAAAGGGCTGTCTGACAGCAAGGTATAGCAGATAAAATATTCTCAATATAGAGTAGGGGGGCTAAAATGTCAACAGCAGTACACTGCTTAGCTTCCGTGTCAGTATTCCCATCTGCTTCTTCAAACTGGGGTGTGCTGACTGATATCTACTGTAGGTAACACACTGACTGTGGAAAATTACCTCATACATCCCCACTTCAAAAGACCCAAACTATCCATTGAAGTCAGTAACCACACACACACACACACACACACACACACACACACACACACACACACACACACACACGCAGCAGTCTTACCCTTTTACATTAGGCAGCCTCCTTGGTTTCCGGGTCTTGATCAGGACCCACTGGTCACATGTCAGGGACTTGGGATCTGAGGAACAAACCACAAAGAGAGCTTGAACTTGTTAGCAAGCATCTGTGCACTGAATATGGGCTATTCCACAGGATGATTAATGTGTTGTGCTATAGCAATGCTGCAATTACTGCAATGCAGAAGGCAACTGAAGACATATTCATATCTTTTGTCATAAGTATTTTCTGTGGCAATGGCCCAATTTCCCCACACAGACGTTACAGTTTCATCTTCTGTTCATAAAACAAGGAACAAGTGCACTCACCAGTGTCTAAGAGTTTGTTTTTAATTGGTGCTTTCATCTTCTTTGCCCTCTGCTGGAGAGTCTTACAGGCTGAGCACAAGCCTTGTGAGGGCCTCGGTTTCTTTGGAGAGGCGTTACGAAGGAGAGAAGGACCAGAGGCTAAGCTGCTGGCAACAGAGTGACGATCGTCATCTGACTCATCCATTCCTTCAGACACCAATACAAACTTTCCTCCATCGTCCTCAGTGACGCGTTTTGCATCATGTGTACTGTTGATGATGTCAATGATGTCCCTCCCCTCATCTGTAACTACACTGTTGCCTTCTTTGGTCTTCTTCAGCCCCGCCCTCTGTCTCTTACCCTTCAACCTGCGCTGGATAACTTCTTCATCTGAGCTGGGACTTCCCTGGGGGCTCTTCTTGGAGACCTCTGATAGTCTGGAGGAGCGTCTGGGAGACATGGGTGTTTTCCACTTCAGAGAATACTCAAATAACCTGTGACAGAGAGCGACAGTGACTACCTGTGATAAAGCACCTATTATGTGTTGTACATTGGTATGTGGTCACTAATGCCAGCCTTAAACCAACTACTTCAAACAATTTCACTGTGGCAGACACATTTACAATGTTGGAAAAAGATCATGAGAGTTTTATCTTAGTTGGTGTAAAGTGGTCATGAAACTCAGTCCAACCAGCCTAAAGTCAGCCTTTTTCTTGTCTTGACATTCCCATAAAATTGAACATGTTTAATACCATATTAAGTTTTAAGTCTTGTGATTTTGTTGCGTTTGCTACCCTCATAGCCAAATGGCGCAGGGTGGGAGATAATCTCAAAGGGAATCAAACTAGTCTTACAAATAGTGACCCTGCACAATCCACAGTCTTGGCAAAATTTTGTAGTGTGTGACTACAAACTCAGGGTGTCTGTCTTTAGATGGGAGAAAGTGACAGTCTTTAGTCTTTTAAAACTAATTTCCACTACTTCTAATGCAGCTTTATGTTATTTCACAATTTAACTTAAGTCACACAGGCTGAAAACTTTAAGACAGTTCTCTTGTGGGTCTTACCTGTAATACTGTACTCTAATGGACAACGAATTAGTGAAACACTCCAAGCCCTCTACCTCATGCTCGCTGTCTGTCGCAGGCCTATAAAGACAACAAAAAAAATTTAGTGACAGAAAATCAAAACAGCAAAAAGGAAATATACAGCACGGTATTGATAACATGATCTTGTTCATGTGTCTGCTTCATCTCAATTCAAGTAATTCATTGTAATTATCACTTATCTGCGTAGGTGCCACCAAAGAGACTGAAACACAGATCTTCGAGATTTAAAAAATGTTGTTATATATTGGCAGCTTTTTAGGGGATTATTTTATGGGGAAACATACCTTTTTTTTTTACCTTACTGTACGGAAAGCTTGATAAGTAGCCTAATGTCTATTTTATCTACTTTATCGCAGTACCTGTTAAACTAATCAGGTACACAATATAAATACATGTCTATATATTTGACCAATTTAAAGGTTTTATTACACTGTCAAATCCACCCTGAATCCATCCCTCTACTAGAATCAGGATAATCTTGATTTTTTTTTTTTTTTTACATCAAAGGTATCCCAATCCTACTAAAAAGTTTTGAACACATACTGAAGGTTTGATCCAGATCAAAGCCAAGACTGGATTAAGAAATCTAATCCAATTTTGGAATCCTCTCTTTTGAACAACTAACATTAAAGGTTTGATCAATTCCGATAGACGAAATCTAATAAGATTACTTTTAAACATCTGGGCCTGGTTGTTCAAAAAATTTAATTTGGATCATTTTGATCCAGATTTTAAAATCTGATGTTTTGCAGTCCAAGATCAGCAAATCCATCTTACTTCTGTGCTGGTTTTTCAACGCAACATTGGATTGGATCACCCTGATCCAGGTACATATTTTCCCAAGATTACCAAATCTAGAGAACCATTTCTCTAAATTCTCTAAATGGGATTACATAACTCATTGTAGGGAGTCTGCCAACAGACACACTGTAATTATCACTTATCATCGTAGGTGCCGCCAAAAAGACCAAAACGCAGCTCTTTGAGGTTTAATCATTTTTGTTTGATATTGACAGCTGTTTGGGGGATTATTTTATGGAGACAATGCCGCNCCCCCCCCCCCCCCCCCCCCCCCCCTTTTTCTTTTTTTAACATTACTGTACTGAAAGGCTTGATGGGCAGCCTAATATCTGCTTTCTCTCCTTTATCACAGTACCTGTTCAACAAATCAGGTGCAAAATGTAAATAAATGTGTATGTATTTGATCAATTTAAAGGTTTTATTACCCCGTGTTCTTCACATCCACCCTGAATTCAATTTCAAGTTCAATATAACTTTATTTATTTCCGGAGGGAATTCTTGTGCAAGAGAATGCTTCAAATTACAGTAACACCAAGTACAGTGACCACAATTTAACTATTCACAACTAGTATCAAACAGACAAGCAGTGGGTGTCCTGGGTCAGGGTCACTCACTGGGCTCAGTTTTCTAACAATACAGTATTAAATATTTAAAAATATACAAGACAGAAGTGTCTTCAAGGAGCAGAAGCAAAAAACAGTGCCTAATAGAGTTACAATAGGAGTGTGGTAAATACAAGAGTTACTAAAAATTAACTGAAATGGTGGGAAAAAAATAGATATAAAAAATATAAAAAGATAGATAGATAGATAGATAGATAGATGGTGCTTTATTGATCCCAAACTGGGAAATTCTTGTGTTACAGCTGCAAGTAATCAAACAGTATGTGGACAGTGATATACATGTAAATACAAAAAGACAAAAACAGATCAAAATGAAATATATGAGAATATATAAATATAAAATATATACAATAATAAGTAGTACTAAAATGTAAATATGAAATGAATTAATATGAAATTTAAATATAACACAGATATTAATAATATTGCACTACACTGACAAGTGAACATGACATTGAGGAATAATATTGTACAAGTAGAATCCAGCCCTCTCAGGATAATCCTGATTTATCTGGGTCCAAGGTATCCAAATCCTTGTAGGAATGTTTTGAACGCATAACTGAAGGTTTAATCCAGATCAAAACCAAGACTGGATTACATTATCTAAACTGAATTCAGAATCTTATCACCCATTTTCAAGATACAATCCAATGGATGGCTGAAATCTGACCAGATTACCTCTGAACAACTTGGTACTGACTACCAAGCAAAAGTTACTGTGTCTTGATGTTGAAGCACTACTTTCCCCTCAAGCCTGCTGTTTCTCAGTTAGTCTGTGGTCTGGTAGTGACGTTAGGTTTTCACACAGGGTCCAGAGAACAGGACTTTAAGAACAGGTAATGATGGGAGAGCCTGACTCACGAATTTGTCCATAACCCATTAAACAGCCCTTTAGCTCATGTTAGCATCTTGGCTAAGCCAGCCGGACTTAAACGCAGTAAACACCATCAGACTGAAGGCTAACAGTGAAGACATCATCAGCAGTGAAGCTAGGCTAAAACTTTACAACTTACTGATTCTCCGTTCGTTCAAAGTTTACGTGACTTGACATGTTTACTTGTTTTTACCGACACCTTCATCTACAAAACAGCGAGGCGCTTACTTGTGAACATTCTGGCTCGTGCCGTATTGAGCTCGTGGACCTGAGGCTGTTGAGCTCGAGGATAACTTCTTAAAGTTGCGCGCGGCGGAAGAGGACTCGGCTGGTTGAAGACTCTTCTTCTACTGCTACTGTTTGACGCTGGAGGTAAAATGGCGCCTTACCGCCGCTAACTGGACGACCGTTTAAATGACAAACTGCCGTAAATTATCAGACATTCAAACGACATTATTCAAAACATGTTTAACGATGCAGCTGTTTGACCGACCAGTCTCTCTCGTTTATGCCTCACAAGCAGATGTTAATGTGCTGATAAGCTATAGTCTATTTATTTAACCAACCAGGAAGTCCCATTGAGATTTCTCTCCAGAGCTGTTAAAACCCAAGGTGCATTAAAACATGTGTATGTGTGTTTATATGTGAATGCTGTAAATTCATATTTTGTGTTTTTGTGTCCATAGGCGGATTATGAGACAATGGGCCCCTGGGTATACATATGTACAAGGCCCCACCTCCTCTCTGTCCTACAACACACACAGGCCCGTTTCCACCGCAGGAACTTCGGGGTAATTTTACGGGGCCGTGGCCGTTGGTGCGTGTCTCCACCGCAGGAACCACCCCCTAAGGACAGAGTTCCGGAACTTTTACGGGGGCTAAACAAGTCCCTGCCTCTGGGTAGGTACTCAGAACCATAGACATATATACGTAGACGCCGCATCGAGTGGGTTTGCCAGCTAAGCTAAGCTTACAAATATCTGCATGGGACTGAGCTCGAAATGCAAAGCGCTGTCAATCACAAAGGGGTTCAGCCTTTCCTCCAATCATTATGCATACACACCGAGCGTCCTCTCCCGCCCTGTGAAAAAATATATTTGCCTTAATACCAATGTAAAAATCTAAATGTTATATCTAAACTAAATATTATATAGATATTATATTTAGCCTATATATATATGCGCAAATTCACTCTGCCTGTCAGCGGAAGTACAAAAGTAGAAGCTTGAAGACGCGCTGGCAAACTGTCTGTAAAGGACATTTAGATTTAATATTAAGAACAGTGGCATTATCTTTTTAAAAGAAAGGTCAGTGTGACAAAGCTCACAAATATTGCTGTAAAGCTGGTAAACAAAGTGACTTAAAAAAGTCACACCACTTTTTTTAAACATTTGGAGCTAAATGTGAGGAAATGTTGCTGTTCATTTTAGCATGTGTCATTTTACAAACGACTCCTCAAAAGCACAAAGTTTAAGAAAAACAGGTCTCAAAACTATATTGTGATAAAGGGTCCATCTTCAAGATGGGTTAGAAAGCAGCACTGTCATGTCAGTCGATATTGTACTTGAGTGTACATTCCCATACTCACACGAGGAACCTGGTGTTTTTCGGGGCCCCTGGGAAGCACCTGAGCATACACAAGGATCAGAGGAGGTAAATTCACTTCATTAAAACAAAACAGAACAAACTAAAATACCATGTTAGATGTGAAGCAGCAGTGAAATGCAATGATATATTGGCATGATGTTGATGGAAGAATACACTGAGGCACATTTACAGTCTGCACTGTTTCTATTCACTATTTTGTATCTAAGAAATACAAATCAATAAAATTAAAAGTATGGATGGGTCATTCTTGGTTTGACCTCTGGGACAAGATGGTGACCTGCATGTGTGTGTTCATCATTACAGTGATACATCAGGTGTTTCTGTAGCTCATACACATCACCTATCTATGTAAAACCTACAGTACACACACAAATGCCCAAAAGCCTCCATATACCATCCATGCACTGTATATGAAATCTCATTCGCTCACGCGCATGTACGCACGCACACACACGCGTCAGTTAAAGTCATGGCAACAGAACGGCTCTACTGAGGGTATATAAAGGCTGCAGACCTTTCAAACTCCCCTTTTGCACTTGGACTTAACTCGAGTTGAACTGCAAAACCTTCTGCTGATAAGTAGAGAGAAAACAAACACTTGGATCACTGAGCTTAAGAAAAACCTAACGAGGTCAACTTCAACTCCATCAAACCGTACCTGCTTACAACATGGCTTTCGGACTCCCCGCGGTGAAGCCCCTGCTGACCACAGCCTGGCAGTGGATGACTTCCTTTGCTGGTAAGACATCTTTTGTTAATATCATGTCAAATTTAGCCTTTTTATTCATGTTCCTTAAATCCTTAGAAGAGAATTTCAGCTAAAAATGAACATTTAACTGTTGAATGTAAAGAGAGTCAGTAATGTTAGTCGACTTGTTGGGAAACACAGTTGTTTTTTAGTGAAACTTGACTTTTTCTCGGTGTACTGTAAAATAATGATTACAGGTGTAGTGATTAGAAAACACTTATTTTTATTTGAGGGTGTTGCATTTTCCAAACTCGTCGTCGAAATTTTTGCGATATAGATGGTGACTCTGCCTTTTTTTGAATGGTACCAAAAATGTTATTATCTTGTGCGCCATGGAGACGATGGAACGTAAGCTATAGGAGCAAACGCCAGGACGTCACCACGCGCATGTGTAAACAAACCGGGGCCTGTTCCTCTGTGTGCATAGCTGAGGATGTTGTCGGGTCTTATTAAGTTACATTTGTCACATTAGTGAACTAATTTCCTGAAATTCCACAAAGTGCACAAACAGATGAATATATTGCTCTGAGTCTGGATAAAAGAGATGAGGTGAACTGTGTGTGACAGTTATTGGACCTACAACCAAAAGCTGTTCAGTCTGCACTCACAGCTTGTAGGCTAACTTACCTGACATGTTATTATTGTCTGAATATTGAAATCTGCTTCGCTCGTTCAGGTCCTATTTTCTTATGAAAGGAAGAGATGAGGGTGGTTTCATGCAGTAACTGCGCACGTCCTGCGTCCAAAGTGCCACCGTCTCCTCCGCGCCGTGTGATTTGCAACTCATAAATTAGGAGAGTGACGTTAACTGAATAGAAACAATTAGTGTGTCGAGAAAACACAGATTTTGCTCTTATTATTTTCTGGAGAGGCCCTTTTATTCATTGTGTATAATTTATCAAAAGTGCCAACGTTTTATTGTGCGTGTGCGCGTTATTGTGTAACGTTTTGGCTCCATCTTAGTGTTTAACACAGCTTATCTTTGAGGCAGTGACATCCTCTTAGAAACACACAGTTCCTGCAGATCATCTCTTCTGTCATGACACAACTATGTGTGATTGTTCTGACTGCTATAGTCTGACTTTTATTGTGTTGTCAGAGGCAAAACCGGGAAATGTGAGCATGGTTTTAATTATGCAGAATTGTGGGTAACATTTTCTTGGATAGTCTGCATACAGATAGTTTAAAGAGTGTTTGTAACAACGACAGCTTATGGGTTGAGATTCAACAGTTTGGTCTGTTTTATCATGTGGAGAATGTGACTTTATTTTAAATGAATCTTTTCTTCTTTAGGTTGCAATGCGAGCCCCTCGATGACCCTGTCCTGCCTGTCGGGGTGGGTGACGGGATCCAGGAGGCTGGGCTTCAGGTAAGTAACTGGCTGGGTGAGCGTAGGTTCCCAGCACTGCACCCTGCGGTGGAGGGTCCTGCTCTCCCTTTTCCTCCCTTCAACCCCTCCTCTACCTGCTCCTCAAGGGTTTTGTTACTCTGCTTCTGCAGTTTGATGAGCACCTCTTTCTTACCCTGATGCTAACCTCTTGGAAGATGTTGAGCCTCTGATTGCAGGGTGGATGGCCACAAAGAGGACCACGGAAGACAGTGATGGGGAGGAGACTGCTGCAAAGAGGGAGAGATCAATCACACACATGCACACACACCTCTTTTAGATCTTTTATATCAACAGGCAAGAAGCAATGTCCAAGGCTGAAAAATGGTTTCCCCGCTCACAACAACTGTATGGGGGGTGAATTTTTTCATAACTCACCCATTTAGGCTCAAAGTTATGCATAATTAAGGGTGTGGCTGCTGTAGGTGACAGGGTGAGTGCAGAGTATGTCCTAGGCTTCTTAGTCACACCCACCCCTTGTTTCACTACAGCGCTTCTTGCCCAAATCCCCTCTGGCTCCAAAAAATGAAATTGGTGATGGGCAGAATGCCGAACTTAACTCTTCAAAATGAGAGTGCACAAGACAATAGGTGATGTCACAGTAGCTACGTCCATTATTCTAATAGTCTATGGTAACAGGACATTTAAACATTGAATTGACATATATCTTTTTATGGGTTTTGATGCATTTAAAGGGCTCATCCTGTTACCATGTTTGTAATATAAATCACAGTTAACAGTTTTGTCCAATACAAGTATTTCAGTAAATAATTAAGCATTACTTTGGGTGTGACAAAGAAAAATCATGCTCCCTCCATAAATACAACAAGACTAAAAGTCCATGCTGTGATGGTGTCATAATCATTTCACGCAAAAAATATAGGAAGGATGAAAAATGGACAAGAACATTGCTTTGTTTGACCCGACGGTGGCATCAGAGGTACGTCTGCTGCCACGCGCACACACCTGCTTCATATCAACAGGCAAGCAGCAACGTCCAGGGCTGAAAAATGACGCTGACACGAAAGTGCCAGTTTCTGGAATGGCCACTTGAGACTGGCCCCAAGAGTGAGTCAGTCCCCATAGACCCCCATGTTTAAATGCCCAACTTTACAGCAGAAATTGACATGTTTACTGCCTGGTACAAAAACTAATTTCTCTGTTCATGACAAAGGTATGGGGGGGGTGAATGTTTATACTCACCTGTTTACATTTTATTAGCTTTGTCACTTTTTAAACTGTCGTCATGTCTGTACCTAATCCTCCACATCAGTACACATGTGGTCCTTCAGATTCAGTGACATTTTTACATGTCCACATGTCATGCTGCAGAACCTAATTTAAGACAAAGGATTCATAAGTTTTGGACAAAAAACTATGATCTGTACAGAGGCCACAGTAATTACTTGCATCAGAGCAGGTCATTTCTTTAACTTTAACTAACTTTCTATCAAAATATATTTACCACGGACTTGTACTGTTTTGTCGCTGTCTCGCTTTGATCCACTACATTCGGTGTTTTTCCCTGTTTAATCAAGGCTATGAAAATCTCTACTATAAATAGTCCCAACAGGTATCAACAGGTCAGTCTCCTCTGTGTATAAAAATATGAGGGGCAACATAAATGTTGGTCTCTCTTCTCCAGGTCAGTTTCAGCTGAGTCTGAGTCTCTTATGATAATCAAATCCACAGTGTTTGGAGACATCTTCAGGAGGGACACTGCACTCACTACATAAAGAGAAGACTATCACTATAAATAAGTGATAATAGTATTGTGAAACCAATATTCCTTTTATACATATATATGTTGTCTACCACCAAAATATATACACTATGTGTTAGTGTGGCCTTGGTCATTTTGTGTTTCATTAGTTATTTCATGTCTCTGAGGTAATTTTGTGTCTTTGTTGTGATTTTTTGTCTTTTCAAGGTAATTTTTTGTGTTTTGGTTTGTTTTGCATCTCTTTTGTGTCCCTCTGTTCCCTCTTTGGAGTCATTTTGTGTCTTTTCAAAGTAGTTTTTCGTGTCTTTTTGTGGTAATTTTATGTCTTTTTTGTTGTTTTGTGTGCCCTTGTGGTCATTTCGTGTCTACTTGAGGTAATTTAGTCTATTTCTTGGTATTGTGTCTTTCTTTGTAGTCATCTCATGTCTCTGTAGGGATTTAGGGTCTTGAGGTACATATTTGTCTTTTTTGTTTTTGTTTTGTGTCTCTTTGAGGCTTGTTACCTCTTAAGTTGTCATTTTGTATGAGGTAACTTTGTGTTAATTTTTTATCTCTTTGTAGTCATTTTGTCATTTTGTGTCTCTTTGTGGTAATTTTTTGTCTTTGTTTGTTTTGTGTGTCCTTGTAGTCCTTTTTTGGTACTTGAGATCATTTTGTCTCTTTCTTGGTCATTTTGGGTCTCTTTGCAGTAGTTTTGCCTCTTTTTGTTATAACTTTGTGTCTTTAAGGTAAATATTTGTCTTTTTTGGCCACTTTGTGGCTCTTTTCCTTTTTATAGTCATTTTGTGTCTCTTTGTGGTCATTTTGAGTCTCTTCCTGGTTGGTACGTGTGAATTTAAGTGACATTTTGAATGTGAAGTCCAGTGAGACCTCTGACACTTTAAGCTGCTGGACCTCTGCCAGGTAGGCCCGTTCAGTTTCCTCATGTCTGTGTTAGCGAACTCTATGCTCCCATTTTGGACAGCTCTCTTAACTTAAAAAACAGATTAAAAATGAACCATAACAAGCAGATTTATGTCCTTGAATTTTTGTGTAACCCTGTGGCTGATGTTGTGAATGGCTGCTACTGAAACCTGAATTTACAGATTACACTAACAGTCTCCATGTGTTCATCACATACTGTACTTATGTGACAAAAGTTAAAACTGTCATAGACAGATAGGGATACAACCTAGCTCCAAGTTTTCTGTTTGTCACCTGAGGTGAATCGATGAAACACAACTTTATTATAAAAATGAATCATGGCTAAATTCCATTTAGCTAGTGGGCTAATCTAACACTTGTGATTTTCATTGTCAAAATTTCTGCTGTAAGAAAGAAAAGAAAAGCCAAAAATAAACTACAGTAATTAAGGTTTTAGAGTTTAATTTTGATACATGGACCCCTCACAAGATAGGGGCCACAAAATCACATTATGCAGGACCCAGCTGATGTTGTAGTTAGTTGTGCACATTTCCAAAAAAGTTCACGAACAAGTTGGTTGTTGGTTGCTAATCCACTCCCTTCACTCACTGCCTTTAAATGTTAGAACATGCTGCATGGGAAATCCAGAGAAACAGGCCTGACTGGAGTAGAGATTATCTTACAATACTTAACTTAATTACTTCCCCTTGGACTCCCCTGCAGAGGTCCAGGCTATGCCCTTGATGTCATCAAATCCTGGAAACATCCCTGGTCCTCTTTATTGTCCTCTTCAGACTTTTTCCCTTCTCCATGCACACTGGACGCAGGTGAAGTTGCACCAGAAATCCCTCTGCAAACACTGTTGCTTCCTCCATTGAACTTTCCTCCAGTCCCCAGGGGCAGTATCGGTTGTAATTGTGTTCTTTCTTTTATGTGTTGATACCAATAATAACACAGTAATTCAATCACAGGGAGTCCAACTGACTGGAGGACTTTGAACACACACAACTGCAGTCTAATTCACTGAGGAATTTAAACAGTCAGAGGATCCTAAAGGGCGGGAATTATTTACATAAGCATTCAAAGCACAGAGAAGGGGGTGTTTCCGTGTCATTTTTCCTTCTCTTAGCCTCACCCTTTTCTCTGTGTTGCACTCAGTGAGCTGCAGAGGAATGAGCACAATGTGGAAAACAGCAGCGTTTGTGTTCCTGCTGCTGAGCATGGACATGCAGGTGAATGGTGCTGTGGATAAAACTAAAGGGTCCGTGGCAGACAACTCCAGACCAGAGAAGAAGGTGAAAACAGAAGAGGCTGAAACCACTGAAAACACCCTTGCAGGTGACTCTGCTTCTCCAGGTTTCTTGGGAAAATTGCTGGTGGTGCCCATGGATGGGAGTCACTGGGTGGGTATGAATGCAATAGTCCAAGAAATGGGTCGCCGTGGACACCAGGTCACCGTTGTGATACCAGAAGTCAGCATACGGTTGGGTCCAGCGGATTTCTACGACATTGTGACCTATCCTGTTCCTTATGAGAAGGCTTATATTGATTCTATCATGTCCACACACAAGGACATGTTGCAGAAATCTGCACAGTCCTTCATGGAGAAGATAAGGAATAGATTTGCGCAGATTCAGAAGATTACAGGCTTGATCCACACCACGGCAGAGAGCCTGCTGTTCAATGACAGTGTGATCTCACATCTGGCACAGCAGGTGAGTGCAAATGCAGAATCAGGTTTGAAAGCTAGCAAAATTAAATACAGCCACGGGTCCAGATTTCTCCTCAGTCATGAGTTCAAGGTCAACACAGTTTAACACATTCGTCATCATATGTGCATTTGGCCATGTCATTGAGCTTGTTTGCTGTCTCTGTCCAGTAGCTGTCCGTTAGTCACTCACTCACTCTACAGCAGGAAACAGCACTTCAAAGTAAAGGCTCTGTGCCAAAAATCCACTGTACTTAAAAATAAAGTGTTTTTTATAAACTTGACATGTTTGGTAGTCACATGTGGTCCATTCAGAATGGATCTGCAACCCACCAGTTGGGAATCACTGCTTTAGACTGTGTCTACTACTCTTGAACTACCTTCTGGGGCTGTTGTTGTATTGGATTCAGGGCAGACTCTGGACTTTTTGGGGCCCTAAGCAGGATTTGGTTTGGAGAACCCCTCAAGGCACTGAACCAACTTGTGTACTATAAATATTAGCTTAAGCACACATAATGTCCAAATAAGCACGTAAAGACCATAGACTGTATCAAATAACAACACACTCTCACTCCAACCTCGTCACATATTGACGTTTGGTCATGGACTTTCGACGTCCAGATATGACGTGCAAGGTACCCTGGGTGCATTGGTTGTTGATGTTCTGGGACACCGTGTCAAGTTCTGCCTGTCACATGCATTGTCTTCTTTCAAAATACACTTCTGTTTTCACAGGAAATTAACCATTTATATACAGTCTCTTTCAAAATAAACGCACTACATGGGAACAACAACGCAAATTGATTTTTTTCCTTCTGAAAAACATGGCTGGGTTTAGGTTTAGGTTTAGCAAAAATGAACAGGGTTTGGTTTTAGAATCTTAAGTGCTTTTTGGACCCTTCCATCACTACTCCCACCTGCCCCAGTCAGACTTTCGCCCCTTAACTTTCATCCTTGTCCCGCCGCATTTCCCCCTGATGCTGCGTATCATGCCGACATTAAAGGATGCCCTTTTTCGTTGGATTCTGATGCTGCAAGTCACTGTCCAAGTTCACCCACTGGTTTATGGACTCCCGCTTTGAAGCGTCAGCATTTTGGCCGTCGCCCTCTTGGATTTTTGGAGCCAGAGGTGACCATATTTGGATGAGAAGGTGGTGCTAACCCTAACACTACAGCTCCTAGCTTGGTTAGCACTGTGCATTTTCAGCTACGGCTAACTGTGACAATATTAATGCTAAATTTTTGCTAGTTTTAACTACTGAAAAAAATGAAACATCCTACTCCCTATGCTGTGTTCACACTATGAGCAACAGGCTACATGTCATTTTCGATGGAAGGTGACATTAAGCTACAAGCTGACGCTAAATACTTGTCGCTACAGGCAGGTGTAACATGCTACAAATCAAAGCTGAACTGGCTTCAACTTTTTTTCAGCACTCCACTGACGTGGTGAAGTGACAACCAATCATATGCTTTTGTGTCTATCTGTGGTATTGTTTTGTTTACCTTAGCTAACTGACACTATGCTAGCTTCATGTGCATTGTGGTGCACACAGGGATGCAATGGGGTGACGAAATGTGACGATAAAATGGTGCTCAGACATTAATTAAAAAAGCACAGATATGTTTTTGAGCAAGTGCAACCTTTAAATGATGTTCAGTGGAGGTGCACTGTTGCAAGTAGCAGACACACACAAGTCTGTGAGAACATAACTATGTTCAAGAGCTCTTGAGTGAGATATTCGACGGCGACTTAGTGATAATGTAGCTGGTCACTGTGTTGCGTTGTTGCTTGTAGTGTGAACACAGTATTCAAGGGTCTTGTAGCACAACCAAATGCTGAGCAAGACTTTTTCAGGCAACCAAAATGTTACAACTAACTTTCATGAACTGGAAAATCACTGGAATTGCAATAGCTATGGTGGAGCTTATTGAAACGTATTTACAATTAAATATTGTAGTCTACTGATTCCCAACCACATGACGTACTTTATGTCATCTGATGGAGTTTCACTGGCTCTCAGGCTGTTGATTAAACTACAGGCTGTACGTCTGCATTTTTGTATTGCCTGCCACCGATGCCACCACGAGGACAGGAGCAGATCAGGAGACTGACTCGCTCCCGCTCTCTGTCTCACACTTGGACCGAAATCCGATCAAACAGTAAAATTCGGCCATGCTGATTGAACTTAACTCTCATACAGTGTCTTTCAAAACATCTTTTAGTGTCGTGTTCAGCTTGTGAACAGGAAGTGGGCGCCATTCTGTTTCCTGCATAGCGAAAATGAAGGCCAATAAAACTGAGATCAAGCAGTAAAACTTGACAGAGCTGATCAAATAAAAAACAAGACTCTGTTACTGAGTTGCCTATCTCTCACCTCAAATGTTTTCAGAAACATGTTTAGCTCACTATTTAACTGTGATACGAGATTGTTTTTTTGCCAGACAGCCGCCATTGTTTCAAACAGATTGAAATATAAAAGTGCTACTTTCCACCTCTTAGACTTTGCTGTGATTGAGAAAAAAACCTGCCATCAGTTGAAAAGCCCGCACTCTTCTCGACAATCAACGCATGAGCATATTTATAGGAGCAAAGGTGCTTCATTAGTGCACAGTTTTGAAGATTCACCCGTCTACCTCATTTCTCCTTTGCACCTTTTCGCTCTGAAGAACTTCGATGCTGTCCTAACAGACCCCATGGTGCCCACAGGCTCATTAATAGCACGGAAATTAGGTGAGTTTCTGCCACACTTTGATTCTGTGTGCTCTTATACATCTGCCTATTACTCACCAGTCATACATGAAATCAATTTCAGGTCTCCCCACTATAAATTTGCTGAGGGGAATTCCATGTGGTTTGGATATGAAGTCTGCAGGCTGCCCCTCGCCACCCTCATATGTGCCCCGCTACTTCACCAGATACACGGATAAGATGAGCTTCAAGGAGAGGATGTTCAACACTTTGGTGAGGGCTTGTGCATCAGCAGGTGCATGCATGAAGGATGGCTGTTTAAATTATTCAAAATTAACTCTACTCCAATTTACTGGGTAAATCAGGTTATGTGTTAACAACACTAATCCCTCTAATTCACATTTGTCAGTTCTTTCTCCATTTGTCACATAAATCTGCAGAAATAGTCATGTATGTCCGAGATGTTGGTGATGGAACATGTTGCCTTGACGCAACCACGGTTAAATTTAACTAATACGACTGAAATTCAACTCTACTGCTGAGCACCTACGCCTTACTTTGATATTGCTCTGTGATGCCTCTGACCTACAGGTTGCTTTACTGGAGCCGCTGCTATGCAAACTGCTCTACTGGCACTTTGACAACATAGCCTATCGTTTCCTGGGAGAGGAGGTGGGCGTAGCTGAAGTGCTGTCGGACTCTGCTATCTGGCTGCTGAGGTAATATGTGCAAAGGTTATACATTAATGGTTTGGAAAAGAAGTATGGAGGACAAACAATGACACAAATATACATTTACATTTATTTATCTATGCAATTATTTTTTGTTTCTATATTTATTTCAACATTTATCCTTTTATTTATTCACTCATGCATTTATTTATTTTGGTGTTCATTTAGTTATTCCTGATTATTTCATTACATTTTTTAATTTATGAATTTATTTATCTATTTATTCTTGTATTTATTTATTTCAGTATTATTTATTTACTTACATTTTTATTTATTTCTGAATTAATTTATACATTTATTTCTGTATATATTTCTTCATTCCTGAATGTTTTTATTCATTATTTATTTTGTTACTATACGTATTTCTCTCTGTATTATTTATTCATTCTTGTGACTATTTATAGTTAAATTTATATATTTCTGTATTTATTTATTCCTGAATTTATTTATACATTTATTTATTTCGTTCAGTATTATTTCATCACATTTTTATTTATTTATTAATTTATCTATTTCTGTATGTATTTATTTATTTATTTTCAGTATTATTCATTTACTATTTTTATTTATTTATTAATTTATTTATACATTTATTTCTGTATATATTTCCTCATTCCTGAATGCATTTATTCATTATTTATTTTGTTCCTATACTTAATTCTCTCTGTATTATTTACACATTATATGTTATGTATACAGTATGTATTTATACATTTATTTATTTATCCCTGTATTTATTTATTTATACTTTTGTTTGTTTCCATATTCATTTAATGATGCCTGTATTTACAATTTTACAAATTATTCATTTATTCTAGTATTCATATATAGTAATTAGGAATTAGTAATTAATTTCCACTAAAGCACACTAAAAAATATTTTAGATTGTTTGTCTCTATTCAAATAAATATTGTGATTCTGTGTCTAACAGGATGGACTTCACACTGGAGTTCCCACACCCACTCATGCCTAACGTTGTACTAGTTGGTGGAATAAACTGTGACGTGAGAAATCCTCTGCCTGAAGTAAGTCCCCTGTGTTTTTGATTCTACGTACAATAAAAACATTTCAACTATTTAATTTATTTTACTTCCTCTTTGTGTTGTATCACTGCATTTAGTGCAGGAAGACTGAGAGATAAAGAGAGTGTGTGTGTGTGTTTGCAGGATTTGGAGTCCTGGGTGTCGGGAGAACATGGGTTTGTGGTGTTCACTCTGGGTACCATGGTGTCAGAGATGCCAGTAGAGATGACAGCTGTCTTCCTAGAAGCCTTTAGACAGATTCCACAGAAGGTTTGTCAACATGTGTGACAATGTATTTTAAACCATACATCAATGCAACAGTCAAAGAGCAATAAAGGATACGTGGCTTGTTTTGATAGGTAATATGGAGGTACACCGGGCCGGTTCCTGACAGCATCCCAGAAAATGTGAAGTTGATGAATTGGGTGCCTCAGAATGACCTGCTAGGTCTGTAAATCCGCTGGAATAAAAACATCCTGACATGCTAAACACATGACTCAAAACTGAACTAACCCAACATCTATAGAGGACCAAAACATACTATAGTATCAATAAATAAATAAATAAATAAATAACTACAGGAATATACAAATAAATATGGAAACAAATAAATAAATAAATGTATAAATAGATAAATACAGAAATAAATAACTACATAAATGTATGAATAAACATAAGAATAAATAAATGAATTATAAATCAATACATTTGAATAAATATTAAATAAATGAAAGATTAAAAACATAAATTAAAACATAAAAGTTGATCATTAAAATGGACATAAACATCTTCAATTTATTTCTAAATTTTTGTATATCTACATTTATTTATGTATATGTATTTCTGCATCAGTATGTTAATGATGTAGGAGGTCGTAACCTTTTCATTAATTTCTTTATTTATGCATTCAATTATTTATTTCTATTTATTTTCAGCATTTACTTATGCATTTATTCATGTATTTATTTCATTATTTTGTTTATTCATGTGTTTATTTCAACAGATATTTTTTATTTCGATATGCATTCAATATTTATTTTATTTATGTATTTATTTTAGCATTTATTGATTATTTATTTTTGTATTTATTTGTTCTTTTTTATTTTTATTTTTTTTTATTCATTAGTTTTTATTTCTGTATGTATTTCAATATTTATTATTTTTATTTATGTATTTCTTTGAGCATTTATTTTGTTTTTTTAATTCATTCTTTTATTTTTTTATTTTTGATCTCTGCATGTATTTCAATATTAATTTATTATTTTATTTTGTTTTATTTGTTGATTTTATTTCTGCAATTATTTATTGGTACCTATTTGTTTTTGTTTTCCATAAACATCTCTCTCTCTGTTGTGTTTTAGCACATCCTGGAGCTCGGGCTTTCATCACTCACGCTGGCTCCCACGGTCTCTTTGAGGGACTGTGCCACGCTGTTCCCATGGTGTTGGTGCCAATTTCGGCAGAGCAGCCTGACAACGCGGCGAGGTTGGTGAGCAGAAAAGCCGGAGTCGTGTTGGACATTTTTTCGATCACTACAGAAAACCTTCTTCAGGCACTGAATGAGGTCATCAATGACACCAGGTGAGTGCTCAGGTCGCTCACAATGTCAGTTATCTCTTTATAAAGGAGTTCCTCTCATCTCAGTGCTGTGTTCTTAAACTCTTCCCATCAACCTGTTTATATCCAGGTATAAAGAGAACATACAGAAGCTGTCATCTCTCCATAAAGACCGGCCACTTGACCCTCTCGACCTCTCAGTGTACTGGACAGAATTTGTGATGCGGCACAAAGGGGCCAAACATCTCAGACCTGCTGTCCATGACCTCAACTGGTTCCAGTACCACTCCCTGGATGTAATAACACTGCTGGTTACTGTGGTGCTGGTTATTGTAATAGTGACAGTGAAATGCTTGAAACTCTGCCTCCGGAAACTGAGCAGGAAGAGGAAGCAGGACTGAGCTGGTACTATGTTTGCACCTTCATCTCAGCAACAACACTGTATATTAATGGAGATTAAAACACCATCATTATTATTGAAATATTAAAGGGTGATTTCTGTATTTTTCAGCCTGGACCCTTTTTTCCTCATGTTTTTGTGTCTCAGTGACCAACTGAAACTGGTCCAGTATCGAGCAAGAGGGCTGCAGCCATTAAAAAGGCTGAAATATAATCACCTAGGGCATATGCATGTTCAATTTATGTCCACTGAAAGTGTTTGTTTTGTCACTGACAGGCCCAGATTGTTATACTAAGTGTCTGACAACATTATGGAAAGGATCCCTACAGAGATAGACCTTTTTGTTGAAGAGTAAGATCCTTTTTGTTGAACCAGAAACAGCCCCAAAGTCAATCTCACCCAACACACCAGACTCCATTCAAATTATCTGTAATTTTAGCATGTATAGAGCCAGCATATTTTCCCATTTAACTGAGTGAATTAAAGGTTTATTTCAACTAAACCAGAGTTGGTGGTTGTTGGAGCAGTGGAATGACGAACCAAGGTGGCTTTTGTCAATTTATTTTGTTTCTGTGGACTTTTACTGAACTGTGTTTTATGATAATAAAATTACTGTTTATTTAAATGGAGTCTGGTGGGGCTGGCAATAGCCATTTTGTGTCCTTTTCTGGTTAACCAAAAGGACTTTTTTCTTTGACAAGAGGGTCTATCTCTGTAGGGATCATTTCCGTAATCATATCAGATACCTGGAATAACAATCTGAGTCTGTCGGTGACAAAAACAAACACTTTGAGTGGACATACATTGATGGAAACAAACATGCTCCAAGTGGTTACATTGCAGCCGTCTTCATGGCTTCTCCTTTGGCGGCTTCGCTCAGTACTGGCTCAATTTAAAAAATTGTTGTTGCCATTAGTCACACAGGCACAAAAACATGGGAAAATAGGGTCCTGGTTGAAAAAATACCAAAGTTATCCTTAAATGCAAAGTGAATTTGTTTATGACTTAAAGATGAAACAGAGTGTTTGAAGAATAAGGGGAGCAATGGAGTGATCAGAAAAACATTTATTAAACAGAAAATACATAATATTATTAGACTCCATTATGGTCTGTGTTTGAGGGACAATGATGAGTATTAATGGTGGCCGCCCTTCTTCGGTGGGAACAGGGCGTACTCTACAGCCAGAGCAACAGTGAAGGCAGCAAAGCCCCACTTGAATCCTTTCAGCAGCACTTCAGAGAGAGTCACAGCACGAGCGAAGCCGCCTGCGTATCTCCAAGCCTCGTTACTGCACACAGGGAGAGTGACAGTGACAGGAAGGAAAGATACGGAGCAGGGTCAGGGATAAGACTTACTTAACAGTTAGCCACATCTCATATAGGTAGAAATACTAACCGTGCCCACGGATCCTTGAGGCCTCTGGCTGCCAGCCTCTGCTGTGTGAACTCCAGTGGCGTTCCCTCTGTCTTCCACTGCCGCCAGTCAGGCAGAGACATCTTGCTGTGGCCGTGGTCACCTCCCATGCTGAAAACAGACACAGATGTACGATTATATATCAGCCTACTGGTAGACACATTATATTTATGTTGTTTAATTTGAGAAACGTGCAGACATGAGTCACAAATAATGCGCCAAAATTTTTCTCACAGTTAAAGCAAATGTCTGTCCATCAACTAATTGATTAATCAACTAATCATTCATCTCTAATGCAGATAATTTTTTTTTTTGAATCGGCCACATTCTATTTCTCTTCTTCTATACCTTGTATAACACAGAAATCACAACATTTTGTGAATACATTTTTAACAAATGCTGAGTTTTTATGTGGTTACATGTTTTGTTTTGTTGAAACCATGAGTCCAAACGAGCTGTCAATCAAACAATGCCACAATGATACTGATGTTTGTATAATGTAAGTGTTGTCTGTCCTGAGAAATTCTATACATTTTTTTTCATAATATTGAAGGAAATGTGGCAAAAAGGAGCTCAATATAAATGTTAAAGATGATAAATAGGATGATGTCTGGGAAAGTGTAAAAACCTTGTGTTTGTAAATAGAATAAAATCTATTCAAAGCATGATTTTACACAGAGCTCATGTTTCTCTTCCAGACGCCATACATTTACAGGGTGTCTACAGGTATCAGACATTTGAATTTAATGCTTTTAAAGACATGTTCAAGACATTTTTTAGCCAAATTTAAGACTGATTTTGGACAAATCATCTTTGTCTTATTCAATCATTGCAAGTAAGAAGGGGTTTTATATGAGAATATGGTTATAAGAGTGGGTTAGGTTAACAGGTAAGTGCAAGTATAAAGTAAAAAGCCAGTTTTAGGCTCAGCTGTAGTTTTAAAGACTTGTAACATCAGAAATGTGGACTGTCACTCAGAAGAGCTTGAATCATTTTGAAAAAAAAAAAAAATTAAAAGATGGATAAATTAAATTCAGGGTTCAACAATAATTTTTACTTACCCCTATAAAAACAGTTTAATTTATTAGCAGGTATAAAATACAACAAAAACTTAAGCTAATTTTCATGTTTAATCTTTACTGCAAAGCCCTGCTCTCTAACTTGCGGCAAAGCACACAATACAGAGTTTTGCACACCTCCTCTAACGCCACCCAACTAAACTCCAGTTTCCAGGAAGTGAAATGCTCAGTGAAATGCTTTCCAAGTGAAATGCTCACTTGTGCTCCAGCTCGTAAACTTTATCTTTATGTTGTTCTCATCATCAGCTTTGGAAAAAAACCTGTGTTTAATTCTTTTAGTGCCACTTGACCAATTGGCTAAGTGTGTTGCTAGATTTACTGGCCCAACGCTGCATTTTACTTTCCCTGGGCCATCAGGCTGTTCTTAAATAAAAATGTTGTGCAAAACAGAGACAGGTAGTCTCACCCACTGCCTGTGGTCTTGCCGAAAGATACGGAGGTTTTGGGACGTTACAGGACAGGAAATTAATAAAAGCTTAGGTAAACTCTATAAACTAACATTCTTCGCAAGAAGGTGCATACTTCTGAATTGAATAACAGAGTTTTAACTAAAACACAGTGGCATGGGGTCACACTTGAATATATATTTGTGGATTATTTGACATGTATCCTGCACTCAAAGGATGACATGTTCACTGGAACATGGGAGCCTTTTATATTTTTATATTTCAACTATTCTTATAAAGTAGGGGACTAACATGTCTTGTCATTTGTCACTTCCTTTTATAGATGTTTGATCCGTGAGCTGCACTGAGTTGTTTTGGTTGTATATTCTGTTGAATGTTATGTGTGTCGTTTTGTTCTTAAAACTCAATAAATACATTACAATTTAAAAATGTGTACTGTCCTTTTCTAATTCATACCCAAACGAATAAACTTGTCTCTGCCCTTCAAACATTAAAGGGTAACTTTGGTATTTTTCAACCTAGACACCATTTTCTGATGTTTTTGTGTCCAAGTAACTAATGGCAACAAGTTTTCAAAACTGGTCTAGTAATTAAATCAGACCGCTCCAGCTGGCAGCAGCAACACAGGCTACAATGCAACCACTTGGGGCAATTGTGCAATATCAATTTACGTCCACTTATAGTGCTTGTTTTTGTCACTGACAGGCTCAGATTGTTATTCTAATTGTCTGACAATATTATGGAAAGGATCCCGACAGAGACAGGCCTTTTTGTTTAACCAGAAAAAGTCTTGTTATCGTCATCACCAAACCTACCTAGCTCCATTTAAATGAAGAGTAATTTTATCATCCTAAAAAAAAAAAAATCATTCAAAGACCAAAATAAATAACAAAATAAAAATCACAAAAGCTGTCAAGGTTCAACATCCCACTTTTCCAACATTCATCAACTCTGTTTGGTTGAAATTAATTCACCCAGTTAGATGTGAAAGTATGCTGGCTCTATACACGCTAAAATGACTGCTTATTTAAATGGAGTCTGGTGGGTTTGATGATGGCAGATTCAGAGCATATTTGGGTCAAACAAAATAATTTTACCCTTTAAAAAGGGCCAGTGTGTAAAATGGGTTGAAAACAGTGACATCAGTGGTCAAATTCTAGATTGCAGGGCTCACTCGCTCACCCCTCCCGTCGGGTAAATGACGGTGGCCTCATAGGGACAAAAAGCCTTGCGCAGACACAAGTTTTTCAGGAGTAGGTCTATCTAGCGACGAGGTGAATATTTATTTAGAAATCTAAACCATGTTACGATATTGTAATGAATCCCTCACAAGCAGGAGACCTGAGTAGCGTTCAGGAAAAAGGCCCGTTTATTTGAGCACTCCAAAAACTCCGGTAACACTCCAGGGGGTAAAAGACTCCGTCCCAAACTCTGACTCTTCTAGCGTAACACACGCTTCATACACTCATACTCACTTACAGTACCTAGCGGGTACCCCCTCCCCTCTCTGCTCCACCAATCTCCAGCCCGCACACTGAGTGACAGCGTAGCCGGTAAACAGAGCTCAGCTGTTTATTTAGCCTAGCAATATCTCCGGACTATAGTAGCTGCAATGGACGACTTTGAACGCGATTTTGAAGAGTTTCTTGTAGCGGACACAGACCCAGAGCCATACCTGTTTGAGCTGGAGCATACAGATGAGGAACTTGGATGCTGAGCGGGCGAGAAGAGAGGCTGAATCCTCCGCTCCCATTTTGCTGCACAGAATGGGATTCGGTGCTACTGCTACCATCGTTGGGGAGATATCACCAGGAGGAAAAGCACCGCAGAGAGTGCATCACAAGGAGTGAAGCTGCGTCTTCTTTTCCTCGCAGATGACAGTTCGGGTTCATTCTCTCCTGTTGTGTGGTAAGTGTGGTCCATTTGCAAACTTTATAACTAAAAAAACTTTTCACTACTCTCCATCGACGAACTACTAACACTCTGCTGTTTCCTCCTCCTTCTTCCTTCCTTCCGCTGTCTTCATTGGTTCATTTATACACG